TGGGGTGATTTTATTATATTACAGTTAAATATTTAATTTAATATAATAATTATGAAATGTAATTAATTAATTTAAGAAAAACCTGATTTTTGTAATTTTAAACTGTTGGGCCTGATTTTTAATTTTGGAATAGTAAACACCTGACCTATAAACTTTTCCCTTCAAGATATATGCTCAAATGAGACCATTGTAGAATATAGCGAAGGCCCATAAACAAAGTACTATTATCGCCCAAGCCTGCAGGATGTTCAGGATCTGAGCGAATGAAGCGTTTTACTGTCGCCCATAGCAATGATCACATTCTCACCCAATCCTTTAAGTCGCTCAAGATTTGAGCGAATATGATGTCTTGTGATTACTTAAAACGACAGTTATTGAAGCAGTTATTGAAGCAACCTTATCACACCCCACGATCCAAGAATCTCGATTACAAGCGATTAAACAACAAGAGTAATAACAACAGTTGCGAACGGCAATTCCTTGACAAGTTAGTCATCACAAAGAAAGTGGGTAGTTATAGAGCGCCAAACAGTTTTCAAGCAGTTTTACGGAGAAAATCGTTAAAAAAGTATAAAAAGGAAAAGAAGACATAAAAGGAAGGACCCCAAATCAATCACTTTCAACAGAGAATATGTAATTTCAATTCATTTATTTTTTAAGTGCAAACTTTCAATTTACTTTGTGTGCTTGTGCTCTTTGGAGGTGTTTTGCTTCTTCCCAATTGTAATCTTCATAAATAAAGCACCATTTTTTGGGATTTTGTCTCAAGAGGCTTGTGTCTTACACAATCGTCTGAACCTATCTTTTAATTGCTAGCAATAACCTGGGCGAAACAATTTGGCACGCTTAGTGGGACAATTGGTGTTTGAGGATACGAAAAGTGAAGCATTATGCCTAATAAGAATTCTGATAAAGAACCATCAAGTCAAGGAGTAGTCCATTCTGTGATCTAGAGATATGAGGAGCAGCGAAACTCTTCATGAACAGAGGGACATAGTCAAAGCAGTCAAAATCATTACGAGTCAATGACAGAGTTGAGTCATCGAACCATACGCATTGCTTGGGGAACTCATACATGATGTCGTTGAACAGGTAAATCTACTAAATGTTCATAATATGGAAAGATTTACCAAAAATGGGAACGCACATTATGACAACATGGCCAAACAACTAAACACGTTAAATGAGATCATGAATAAGTTAGTGGGTTAAATATGTAGACCAGTTGTACCAATAGGGAATCACTTTCAAATCAGGACGATTGTGGGACATAATTCCCCAGGTTAGAACCCAAGTCAAAGAATAGAACCACCTTCTGAGAACATCTACTTCAAACATTGTGGGACATAATTCCCCAGGTTTGAACCCAAGTCAAAGAATAGAACCACCTTCTGAGATCATCTACTTCAAACCAGGGGATAGTGGAATGTCAAACTTGTATGGTGGTAATGGGTTGTCAAACCTGGGGAGATAACCTAAATTTAAAAGACAATGTCTAAAGTAATGGACAGAACACCCTGCGTGTCAATGATAGCGAAAACACTCAGGCTAACGGTAATAATGGTCTGAATAACGACGTTTCTGTCGCCAACCAATGACCAAATATTAGGCCTCAATTAACTCAACCAATGAACCAACCTATAGGAGTTCCATATGATCTTAGTGTTATGTTAAGGAATCAAATTATGGAAATAGTGTAGGATCAAATAGCTTTTGGTGTACGTCATGTTATGAAGCTAACTTATACAAAGTCATATCCTGATTGGGTAGATCGGGCATATTCGTGGCTTAGAGGGTACAAAGTGTCAGAATTTTCATTATTCATCGATCTAGGAGAAGTGTCTACTCTGGAATATATAGGGCAATTCACACTGCAATTTGGTGAAGTAACTGACTATCACAAAATGAGACTGTTCCATTGTTCTTTAACATGAGTAGCTTTCTCTTGGTTCATTAATTTGCCAGCAAACCCTGTTCAAATACCGCAACAACTAGAACAATTGTTCCACGCTCAATTTTATAAGACTGTATCTGAAGTCACTTTGGCCGATTTGGCGAATTTACGTCAAATACCAAACGAATGGGCAGAAGGTTTCTTTCAGAGGTTTAAGACAGCCAAGGGAAAATATTTTGTACCCTTACCCGAGAAAGAATTCGTTAAAATTGCTCAAAGCTGTTTGAACTTTGATTTGAAAAAGAAATTTCAGGATAGGGAATTTCCTGATCTTTTCCAACTTAAAGCGAATGTGATTAGGTATGAACGATTGATAAGAGAAGAACAAATGAAAAATTCTAGCAATGAGACTTATTATAGAGACCCAAATTTCGACGTTCATACTATTAATGACGAATATTAAGATCAAACTGAAGTATGTTATGCAGAATTAATTAAGAGAGATGCGTATGCTTGTCCATGATGGCTAAACCTAAAGCGTTGGGCAAGAATGAGCCTATAAAATATGAAAACAAAAAAGTTAGAATGTTTTTATTTGATGTGACCAAAGCTGACCTTATAT